CACTATCAGGGAGCATGAGGGTTGAGAGGAAACAGGGCAGCACACTGAGGATAAGGGGAATGTGCCCTCAGAAGGAACCTCTTGTTCAGCTGGTGAATGGGTATCCTTTCACACCAAAGAACCATCCCTGGGCAGGGAGGGAGGGGGGCTCTTGGTAGTTGGTGATTGGATCCTTAGGCAGGTAGACAGCTGGGTGGCAAACCTGTGTACTGACAATATGGTGACTTGCCTACCTCTGGTTTGGGATGGCTCATCTCAAAGAGATGAAATGGGATTCCTAACAATATGTTGGATCCCCAAGCATCGAGAATAAATCCACGTTTCAGAAAAGCAAAATTTATTTCAAAGCTTTGGAAAGATACTCAAACAAGTCCTTTGTTAGGAATGGGTACAAACAGCCAGGGCAAGTATAATAAAGGGATTTGAACCAGGTACCGAACCAATGGATCACTTTCCCGCTGGCGGGTAAAGGGAAACGGTTGCACGCTCAATCCCTGGGAACACTACTATCTCCAGACATAATACAGGTGCAGTTCCCAGGCTCTAAAGGCAACAAGCTAGCATTCAAGCTCTCCTCCTACACCACGTCCTCCAGATGTTCGGCTTAGCATTACAGCAAAATAAAATACAGGCTAGCAGGCAGGGGGGGGGGATGAACTGTACAAGCGTACAAGAAACACAGAACACAATGGCAGCTTGCTGACACCTCTTCCCTCCCACCCCTCCGCCTCCCTCCTCTACGAGGCAATGACATTCCAGGGTTCCCATTAGTGGGAAAGGAACAGCTAATATTTTAATGCTCCTGTATGTTTTACTTTGCCTCATGCTTATACCCATTTACAATAACAGCAAGCAAATTATACCCCCCCCATTCAAAAAAATTATATTTCCACTCAGGCCTTTAATTCATTTGTTTCATTTACATCCAACCCTTCTCCCCAATGGAGACCCAAAGTGGCTTATATAATCTTGTCTTTGCCATTTTATCCTCCCAACAACCCTGTGAGGTAGGTTAGGCTGAGACGGTATGACTGACCATTTAAGGTCGTGACAGCCAAAGAGCCGCTGCCAGAGCTGCTCTGCCTCTGACTGGAGAACGGCCGACGCTGGGGTGGGGCGGGGCGGGGCAGGTCCTCTTCCTTCCAGGACGACAGGACAAGTGTCCCAAGAGCCAGGGAAGGACGGAGCAACCTGGCATGGCTCTTTCAGAAACCCTTTTGCCAGAGGCTTGAGGAGAGCGATGGATCAGTTATGGATAAGATGCCATATTTTACGGCTTTTGTACTGCAAAGTCTGTTTTTAAGCCTTGCGCCTGAGCTAATCAACGGCCTCTCTCCATTTTCCGGCCAGATCTCGAAAGCTAATCAGGGTCGGCCCTTGCTAGTAAGTGGATGGGAGGCCTCCAAGGAACACCAGGGTGGAGGCAGGCAATGGAAAACCACCCTGGAATGTCTCTTGCCTTGGAAACCCACTGGGTAGCCACAAGGCAGCTACGACTTGACAGAACTTTCCACCATCACCTCCTTACTATCTCTGTCTCCTAAACATCTTCGTCTTCTTCTCAATCTGTCTGTCTGTTTCCTTCTATCATTCTATTTATATCCCCATTTAATTTCTCCAGCAGTACCTTCACCTCTCCAGGTTTTCTGCCTTCCTTCCTATGACAAATCCAGTTTCTCTATAGACTGGTGTGACGGAAACCCGAAAACCTTACAAGGGCTCAATAGTGCCACCGAGAGAGCATCTGGGATCCTGGACCCCCTGGGGTTTACATTCATTTCCATTCCACATGGGGCTATCCTGCCAGACGTAATCTTTTTTGTACAAAGGACCAGCCCAGTTTTTGCCAGACCACCTGTTTGTCATAGAAGTCATAATCATTAACACCTACTTGGTGGAGTGGGACCATCATTTACTAATTTTCTTATAGGCAACAGTAGCTTCTGACATCAGAGATGGGAATTTTGCATGGGACTGGCTAAATCAGCTTGTTACTCTTACAGAGGGGGCTGGTCTATAAATGTCTGGACATTTGGTATTTCCTCTTGTCTTCTGTCTTTAGAGGAAACTGGGGTCCACAGGAGGTTGGGTAGGGGGTAAAGACTCCACCAACATCTTGTTACTGCAAGGAACTCTCCACATGCTCTGAGGAACATGCTACAGCTAGGTAACTTGTACATAGCTGAGTTAGATCAACTTTATTCCAGTGCAAAAAGAGCACCTGTATGCAAATAATTATACCTTTAGACAAATCTTCAAGGCAGCAGTTAAATAACAAGTTATGGATATGGTAACAGCCTTTTCTTTGCCAGGTAGCAAATATAATAAATGGTAACTGTGAACAGACTGGAAACTGTGAAATCAATGCGGAAATAAAAGAAGATCTTATAGTAGAATATAAATCACAACTGAATAAAAAATGGGTGTTTCCATCTTCGCATTTCCACACGGGCAGACTCTGTTCAATTGGACTATCTGAGAATCTGCCAAATAATTCATTAAGGGGTGTCTAGCTAAGAAGAAAAGTCTTCAAAAGGTTGGAATAGCTAAGAATTTTAAATAATCTGGAAGCACTGGAAAAGATGGAATGCTCAGTCCCCAGAGAGAGGGTGCACATTTCCTTTGGGCATTACTACATAATTCAAGATGGTCCTCTTGTTCTAAGTCGGTAAGTGTCTTATTCATAACTAAAGGGAGGTCTGAGGAAAAACCTGGGTAGGGAATCCACATGCTGGAAAGTCTTTTGTCTACTGTCTTTGTTCAAGAAGACTTCACCGCAAATGTGTAGAGCTTATTTGTTGGCCCGTCTTAATGTTCTCCCCTCTGCTATTCTTGAGGGGAGATATAAGCAAATTCCTTATTCAATCAGGTTCTGTGGATGTAACAGAAGTGAAATAGAAACTGTTGAGCACGTACTCTTACACTGTAAATTGTTAAATGACATTCGAGTGGAGTGTATAGAAGCCCCCCTTAGGATGGTAGCAGGCCAATCGGATAGAATCAAGGTACAATTTCTCCTTGCTTCACGAGATCTGGAGATCATTGAACTGACCGCTAAGTTTCTCCATTGTTTTATAAAACGGAAGAGTAACCCTGATCATATTAATGATTCTTAATTTATAAGTTAAAAAACTTAAGTTTAAAAGTTTGGAATGCCAGTTTATTTTATGATTCAGGCATCTTTTGTATGGTCAAATCTAACTTGTGACAACTTGAGTTAGGCCTGACATACCCACGACTATCTATTTTATAATTTCTCTTGGATTGTATTATTGGGAAATGCTTTAATATTCTATGCCAATAAAAGTTATTTGAATTTGAATTTGCAAAAGGATCAAGCTCAGTGCATTTTCCTTTGACTGAGGACTAAAACCACCGTGGTTGCTGTGATTTCCTCTTCCACCAGGTGACGCTCTTTCAGTGTGACCACGTGGACCAGTAGGCCTTTGTTTGCCATAATTTTTAAATTCACAGTCTCTGGCATAATGATTTTCACCACATTTAAAACATTCAACTTTCTTTTCCCTTTTATATCTGTACATATGTATTTTTAGTAGACTCTGGATCCTGTACACACATTTGCAAATATCAGGACTTGTTTTGTGAACTGAAAATAGACCCAAGGTTTATCAAGCCAATAAAGAACCTCTTAATATAGAGGGTGTTGGGACAGTGTCAATCAAACTCCTCACTACAACTGGAGAAGTGATGGATGTTAAATTAAAGAATGTGGCTCTGATTCCTGAAGCAGCCCATAATTTGATTTCAACCAAAAGACTTATGGAATGTAATCATGTGCTCCTTAAGAGAAGGAAAGGAAGTAAGATTGTTGGTGAAATGTCTGGAATTGAATTAGAAGTAGAGGAGAGAAATGGATTTCATTATCTTGTGGATGTTAGTGGAGACTCAGAAGTTGTTGATGCTGATGAGAGACAAGTTTATCCAACTAGCAATGGTTCTTATATGCATGGCATTTGAAGTTCACACATCGTGGGATGCAGAGTGTTGAAAAGTTGTTAAAGGAGTGTGGAATTTCTGCTGCAAGTTGTGACAAGGCAAAGGAGAGATGTGACACATGTCTCAAAGCAAAAGGAACTGCTCCAAAGTACTCTGGCAAGTCCATTACTCATAATGAGCTCCTAGAGACTGTGTACAGTGACCTTGTTGGCCCATTAGTGCCATCTTGTAGCGGGAACAAACACTTTGTGACTTTTACTGAAAGCAAAACAAAATATACTTTTGTGTATATGGTGAAGAGTAAGGATGAGACACTCAATAGGGTACTTCTTACTTCCTTTCCTTCTCTTAAGGAACACATGATTACATTCCATAAGTCTTTTGGTTGAAATCAAGAAGAAAGAAGAATCTCCATTACCAACTGTGTGACTGGTCTAAGGACTGTAGTCAGACTGTTGTTATACTTTTAACAGTAAGGATGTAGTCTTAAGTGTTTGTTGTTTTGTAGATTTCCTGTTTACCTTTCCCTTTAGAAATAAAGATTTTAACATAGAAAGAATATGCCTCCTCTCCAGTGAACAAATATCCATTGCAAGTTCTGAATATCCAACTACTATCAAATTTTCCCACAAATTCAGTCCTTCCAGGGTTGTCTTACAAATCTAGAACATCACTAACAGAATTAACTGTAGATTCAGCTGGTCAGCCATGTTGGTCTGAAGCAGTAGAACAAAACTGAGTCCAGTGGCACCTTTAAGACCAACAAAGTTTTATTCAAGGTTATATGAACTTTTGCACGCTCACTTTCTTAGATACACTGAAATGGAAGTTATCAGTCCATACATATAGATAGAGGGTGAACAGCAAATTAGCACATAACATAATGAAGTCCTTTTAGCAGATGTGAGGACCAAGCAGGGATAACAAGCCAAGTTTATACGTTCAGCAGAAATAACTGTAGTGCAGCCTTAGGAACATCTCCCCTGACAGCAACTGTCAAATGAGTTACTTCTGTGCATATGAACTTAAGAAGAGGTACCCACCTACAAAGCTCTTTGCGTTCCATCGTGCTGTTGACCCTCAAGGTCACCCCATGCTGAGAATCCACTGCCACACCAGGCTCTTCAGACGGGAAAGACACCAGCTCCTGAAACAAGCACTGGAAAGCAAGAAAGACCAAATAGACATCAGGAATAAAGAGAGCAGTGCAGCACTAGAGACAGCTGGTTCAAAGTGAGCAGAAGCACTGCTAAGTCAAAAGCCAACAGACGTGTTTTCTTTTTTAAATAGAAAAGTAACTGAAGAGTCCCTTAAATAAGGAATGGTATCTGTTCTTCATGGCTGGAGTGAAGCCCTGTGGGTCAGGACGGAGACAAACATCTTCCTTTAAGAACCTCTCAGCGTTTAGCCTCTCTGACTGGACTGGGACAACATGTGGAAAATTTTAGACCCAGGTCCTGAATCAACCATAGAATCTCACAGAGTTGGAAGGGACCATACAGGCCATCTAGTCCAGCCCCCAGCTCAGTACAGGACCAGCCTAGAGCATCCCTGGCAAGTGTTTGTCCAGACGCTGCTTCAAGACTGCCAGTGAGGGGGAGCTCACCACCTCCCGAGGCAGCCCATTCCACTGCTGAAGTATTCTTACTGTCAAAAAAAAATTTCCTTAATATCCAGCTAGTACCTTCCCACCTTTAATTAAAACCCATTATTGCGAGTCCTGTCCTCTGCTGCCAACAGGAACAGCTCCCTGCCCTTCAGATACTTAAAGGGAGCAATCATGTCCCCCCTCCACCTCCTCTTCTCCAGACTCAACATTCCCAAGTCCCTCAGCCTTTCCTCACAGGGCTTGGTCTCCAGGCCCCCGATCATCCTTGTCACTGTCTTCTGCACCCGCTCCATTCTGTCCACATCTTTTTCTGAAGTGAGGCCTCCAGAACTGCACGCAATACTCCAGGTGCGGCCTGACCAATGCAGTGGACAGCATGACTATGACATCTTGTGATCTGGATGTTATGCCTCTGTTGATACACCCCAATTGTATGACTGGTCTAAGGACTGTAGAAATTGATTGATTGATTGATACACTCCAAGACTGCATTAGTCTTTTTTGTCGCTGCATAACACTGGTCACTCAAATTTAACTTACGGTCCCCACCCGTACCCCAAGATCTTGTTCACACACACTGCTACCCAGAAGCGTATCCCCCATCCAGTATACGTGTTCCTCATTTTTATTACCCAGATGCAGAACTTGGCACTTATCCTTGTTAAATTGCATCTTGTTCAAATCTGCCCACTTTTCTAGTGTGTTCAGATCTCGTTGAATTCTGTCTCTGTCATCCGGTGTGTTTGCTGCTGCTCCCAATTTGGTGCCATCTCCAAATTTAATAAATAGCCCCTCCACACCCTCAACTCGATCACTTATAAAAATATTGAAAAGTACCAGGCCCAGAACCAAGCCCTGTGGTGCCTCACTGGACACCTCCCTCCAGTCAGATGAAATGCCATCGACAACGGCTCTCTGAGAGTGCGGTTCTCCAACTGAGGCAGAATAGGGATTGAGCCTTTCTGCTTTCTCTCTGTCCTCTGTCAGAGTTTCTCCATGTTCACCCAACAGTGGGCCCATCACCTAAAGTGCCTGGCATCTCGCAGACACACTTGCCTCCATTTCTTAAATGTTTCCCTTTTCTCCCTTAGCACATCTCCCTTAGCACATCACAGAGTTCTCTGTTCATCCGAGGTGATGTGACGCCAATTTTAAAGGAAGGGTGACAGATGGGTTTGAGCTGACTCAGTGACTGGGAAGTCAAAAACCCTGTTTGGAGGGTTTGGCCTGTTTGGTGCGGGAAGCTTGTTTTCCGGAGCCGAATTATGGTTTTTGGAAGGCAGGTTTTTGGCCTCCTGAGGGCATTCTTGGTCTCCATCGTGTGTCTGGAGACTGATGAGTTGGGGTACGCCTCTGCCAGGATCTCAACCAGGTGCGAGGACGGTATTGTTGTCTTGAAGAGGACGAGACCCCCAGAGCTCGAGATGCCTTTATACTCTTATCCAACTCCTGCAGAGTAGAATCAGTATTGGCATTAAAGAGACCCAGGCCATCGAAGGGAAGGTCTTCCACATAAGACCTAGTGTCTAACGGGAGGTTAGTGTTGCGGAGCCAGGAATGTCTTCTGAGAGCTATTGCAGACGCCATTGTTCGTGAAGATGCTTCAAGGACATGTTTGGTAGTGTTGAGCTGTTGTTTTGCCAACACCATGCCTTCTTTTAGTGTAGTGGTTAAGTGCGCAGACTCTAATCTGGGAGAACTGGGTTTGAGTCCCCACTCCTCCACTTGCACCTGCTGATGTGACCTTGGGTCAGTCACAAGCTCTGGCACAGCTGTCCTTGAAAAAGAGCAGTTTGTGTCAGAGCTCTCTCAGCCCCACCCACCTCACAGGTTGTGGGGAGGGGAAGGGAAAGGAATTTGTAAGCCGCTCTGAGACTCCAAGTGAAGGGCGGGGTATAAATCCAATCTCCTCCTCCTCCTCCTCCTCTTCTTTTTGGATGACTCTGGTCGCCTGAAGTTTGTCGTCTGGGAGGTGGGTAAGAAGTTCTGAGAACCGTTCCCAGAGAGTATACTGATATCGATTCATACAGGCTAGGTAGTTTAGAGGCCTTGACTCCTAATGCTCCTATAGAGTAGAAGCGCCTGCCAAAGGCATCCAATTTCTTACCCTCCTTATCCGAAGGAGCGGAATGCATTCTTTTAGATTTGGAGGAGGAGGTTATCACCATTGAGTTAGGTTGTGGGTGAGAGAAGAGGAATTCGGCATCTGACTCTTGGACTCTGTACATGTGATCCAATCTCCTTGTGGACACAGGAGCAGATGAAGGTTTGAGCCATGGTGATTTTGCTGCCTGAAGTAGTACTGAGGACATGGGCAATGCCAAGGTGGACAAGGTATCAAGCTGAACTATGTCGTAAACAGAATCTGTCGCCTGTGGGTGTTGTTAGACGACAGAGAGACCTAAAGAAGAAGAAGAAGAAGAAGAGATTGGATTTATACCCCGCCCTTCACTTGGAGTCTCAGAGCGGCTCACAAACTCCTCTCCCTTCCCCTCCCCACAACAGACACCCTGTGAGGTGGGTGGGGCTGAGAGAACTCTGCCACAAACTGCTCTTTTTCAAGGACAGCTGTGCCAGAGCTTGTGACTGACCCAAGGTCACGTCAGCAGGTGCAAGTGGAGGAGTGGGGACTCAAACTTCTCTTGACTAGATCAATGTAAGAGGTAAGGTTGTCCGATGGAGATACAGGTAAGTCCTCCGCAACATCTTGGTTGGGAGATGTATGGTCTGGAGAGGTATGAGCCTCAGAAGCCTCCGTATCTGAGTCTTCTTCCATGAAGTCAGAGGAGTCTTGTTGTGGTGTGTGGACTGAAGTGTCCTGTTGAAAAGGTACTGGTTTCGGTTGGACGACAGGAACGACAGGGTTTGGAGTGACCAGAGGATTGAGTGGACAACTTGGTTCCAGAGTATGGTGGGACGGATCGACTATAGGAGGAAGCTGAAGGTCTAGACTTCTGTGGGGATCTCAACCTATGAATGGAGTGGGTCAAGTAGCGATCCCAATCAGCACCGATCGATCCAGCGCGTGCGCACTAGAGTGTGAAGCACAGAGACCACGTTGAAGATGGTCGGTTTTCTGGATCCCAGGCAGGACACACAGGAGGCTCTCTTACGCTGAATCAGGCCATCAAGGCCAGTACTGCCCACTCAGGCAGGCAGCCGCTCTCCAGGGTCCCTGGCAGAGACAGGTCTTTCAGTCACCTGCTGTGTGTGGAAAGGGCCGTCCAGCCGCAGCTGACTTGGGGCAACCCTGTAGGGTTCCCAAGGCACGAGAGGTCCAGAGGTGCATGGCCAGGGCCGGCCTCTGCAGAGCAGTCCTTTATTTCCTTGGAGATAAATCAAGACAGCCACGTTGGCCTCTCTGTAGCAGTAGAGGGGCCACGGTGGCTCAGAGGTTAAGACGCTGAGCTGCAGACTGGAAGGTCTGTAGTTCTGCAGTCCCAGACCGGAGTGTGCCGCCTGACCGAGTGAGCTCCTGTGTCTCTGGCCCCAGCTCCTGCCAACCTAGCAGTTGGAAAGCAAGAGATTGCAAGGAGATCAACAGGGACCGCTTCGGTGGGGAAGGTGACAGCGTCCGTGTTCCTTGGGCCGGCCACATGAGCACGGAGACGTGTCCGGACAGCGCTGGCTCTTGGGCTTGGAAAAGGAAGCGAGCACTGCCCGCTAGAGGATGCGACTGGCTTTGGAGGAAGGGAAACCTTGACCTTTAGCTGTAGGGATGGCGTCACAGGCTGCCCGAAGAGGTGGGCAGTGACTCAGGCAGGGAAGTGCTCGACTCCTCCTCCTCCTCCCTCGGCGGCCTCCCTCTCCCACCCACCCACCCACCCACCCGGCTGCT